AAGAAAAGCAGATTTTTTTCAGCTTATTTCTTTCTTCCTTTTCTTGCTTTTTTTGTGTAAAACAGATCAGTAATAATATTTTTGTAACTTTGCAAAAAAAACATCCATTCACAAATACAATACGAGACTTACACCATGCTTTCAAGATAATAATATACATAAAAATAATAATACTTGCTTTATATACAGTTTAAATTGTGTATATGAAAACTTATAGAATAGAAACATAAAGAAATATGCTTATACGAACAGACCATCCGCCGCCCTAATATACTTCATATTTTGAATTGTCGTTGCCGTTTTTTTGTTCTGTTTCTTTTCTCTGCTATATAAAAATTTTTTACATTATCCAGAAACGTACAAATGTATAAATAAAATATTGTTTCACACAAATCCTTATAAAGTGTAAAAAAAATAAAATGTTACAGAAAAAGTTGTCCCCTATCTTTAAGAAAAAAATTTAAGAAAATCTAGCTTATTATCGTACACATATAGTTCTTAAAAGTCTCTTCATAAAATTTTGAATGTAACATATATCGCAATTTTAAGCATGTAATAATTTAATTAATTTTTAATAAAACAATAATTAATTTTTTAAAAATTAATTTTAGGCAAATTTTTGCTGTTCATTCATATTTCGACTGAAATCTGATTTTTACAGCAGTTCCATTAAGGACACCTTATTATATTATATTTAATTGTGCTCACCCTGCTTTAGATGTATCTCTATTCAAATATACTTACATATGTCGTATTTTACATGGAACCTAAAAAAGGACAAATCTCGTAAGATTTTTACTCCAAACATTTTCTTAAAAGAACACACCAAAATCAGCAGAAAGAAAATTATAAGTAAAGTAAAACAAAATGACTCTGCTATTTATACAAAAAATAAATAAATAAGTAAAAAGCAAGAAAAAAACTTTTCTTTTATAACAAAATTTGTAAAAAAATTTTACTCTATTACGACATTTGGAAGAAGTAGTAGATAGGGATATGTAAGTATTTCTTTTTTAGGAGGTTATGGAGATTGTTTCGTGTTTCCCATAATTTTTCATATACGTATTGTTAGATTTAGTGTACATTTATACACACATACACATTATTTGAGTTGATTATATACAACACAATCATACACATGTACTATGTTTATATGTGATTTTTAGCTGCAGATATTTTTAAGATGTGATATAAATAACAAGTAATAAGTTTGTATTTCTACATATTTATCAGAATGTTCCGTAATCGTTTTTATTTCTTTACTTTATTATTCTTGTTTTGCATAATAATATTTTTCCTTTTAATTTTAACATATATTTTTGCTTTAATTCTTAATTGCTGTAATTGAGATATTAAAAGCAACGGATTATTATTTGTATATTTTTATTGAAAAAAAAATTATACTTATAGTTTTAAATGTATGTAAAAATAAATAATTTTCAGTTATTAAAAAAAAAAGCTTTGCAAAAAGTTTTTCAGTTTTGTACTATTGATCAAATTAAAGATAAATTTACGCCCAATGCTAGAAAATTTTGAACATGTCATTTAGGATTCTACAATAGCGTATGTATTTAAAATTATCAATTTTTATTAATTTTGCAAATTTTTTTTATTTATCTATGCCAATAATTAAACAAACTTCTCATGCACATTAAAATCTTTCTCTTGATACTCTAAAACAATACTTTGGTCACCCAAAGTACAAGAACTCGAAGGAACTTAAGCCCTTCCAAGCTTTTTTATTTAATTTATATTTGAAATAACTTACAATTAAAACTTTTCTTACATATTTAAATAGTAATTACAAAATTTGACAAAAATATGGACTTATGCACGTAGGATCCTCCCGACGATTACGTTGTTTATTGAACTAAATGTAATTTTCACATAAATCATATATCATTGCAAAAAATTGCAGTAAAAACAGCAATGAACTTAGCGCTCCCTAATTATAACTTTGGATAAAAATACAAAGCCGCCTAATATGGCTTTTACAATTAAACTTTAATTCCCAAAATAACTTAAAGTAAAAATTTTAGCTTGATTATAAAATGTTATAATGTAAATTTTTCAAAATCAAAAAAACTCAACGAACGGTATTCAGCATAAAATTGTAAAATTAATTTTCAAAACTTAAGTAGCCTTAATTACAAATAAAATTAAGATAAAAATCATTAAATTTTTACAATTTCCCTACCGGTTTATATTAAAATCGCAAATTAAAATACAATTAAAACACTTTAGCTTAAAAATTAACCAAATGAAAATATGAATGTGCAATTATGTGAAATTAATTAATATAGCTTTCTCTAATTTCCTGCAATATAATAGAATACTACTGTAATAACGTATATTATTCTTAATATTATTTTATTTCATTTTTTATTTAATTTTTTTAATTACAAATCAATCAATCGATCTGGAAAAAATAATTCTTTAAAAAAATTCCACTTAATATGCCCATAATTTTTGGTTAGATAAAATAAGAAATATATTTTAAAGCAACACGCTTTCTTGAATTTTATATACCGCATAGTCACATAGAGAACAAGCCCATAGTGTGTTATTGACGAGAAAATCCAGATCACGACTACACCACGAAATAAACGCATGAATTGAATGATTTTTTTTTCTTAACATGTTTTGTAAGCATGACTGGCAACTTTAATTTTTATTTCATAAAACAAATTTTTTAGGGAAAAAACGGTAAAAGAAACAACAACGCAAACTAAAATAACCTAGCACGTTAGTAACGTAACCACGAAGCAATAGGAAAATGTTTAAAAAAAAGGTAATTTTGATTTTGTTGTTGTTTGAGTGCTTTTTTTTAAAATTCATCTTTCATTTTAACTTCTTTTTTCTTTTGAATTTCATGCTTTCAAAGATTTTTAAATGATCCGAAAACTTTAGTCCAAGTGGAGAAAGGTTTTTGTAAATTTAAAATACAAATTAAACCAACACAAAAAAAGATAAATTCAAAATAATAACGAAAATTATTGTATGTCATTGTTCGTACCAATTTTATTAATACTACAAAATAAACTTATTTGGTCGAAATAGGGAATTGATAAAATTTTCACCCGAGAAGTATGAAATGTAAGGAAACAACACAAACTATACGACGAAATAAAAATAAAAAAAAAATAAAATGTGGAAATGGTACACTTAAGTGTAGTACTAAGATTGTAATGAGTTTCTATTCAAAACGTACATATATATTACTTGTAAAATAAGATAATTTAAAGATGCATTTACATTATCGCTATTAAATTGACAAATATGATAAAACAATGGTTAAATGTGCAGAACTTTTCGACGCTATTTCCTTTCAAGAAGTGAAAATACTGCTTTTAAAAACAATCTAGCTTAGCTATATACTACATTATTAAAATTACTTCCATTCGAATATATTTCAAAGATTATATACCTTTAAGCTGTACTCTGCATGTAATCTTTGAAATAAAACGAAAAAAAACTGAAACAGATGTTAACATAATACTCGAATTTAAGGGTTATTTGTGTGAATTATGAAGTATAATTATATTTTTTAATGGCATGGCATTTACCGTTAGCTTTCTGCATTTATTCAAATTTGGAAAAGCTCATAAATATCTAAGAACTACTAAAATTTCAAATTCCCACAGCCTGAGGTCTAGAAAAAAAGCGATATCGAAAACTTGCAAAAAACCGATTTCAGATAACGGTAAATTTCAACGATCATTTTATTTTCGTAAAGTTCAAGTATGGTATGCAGTGGTAGAAGAAGCAAGCCACCACTTTTTCGCATTTGCAAAATTTAAAAGATGTTTGTCGTTTTGCTACAATAATTACTTAAAAATGGCATTTTTAGGAATTCGAGGGGCTACAAGTTTTAGAGGGGGATATAGGTAAAAATTTTCTTCTACGAAAATAAACTTCTAGTAAAGATCTATGTACGTATGGAATTTCATTCTTTTACCTTCAACGGTGTAGAAGTCCAGAAACGGACGAACGAACGGACGGACAGAGAGAAACTAATAAGCACTTAGTTTATCACAACGTTTTTGGAAAAGTGCAAAAAACAATATGTCTTATTTTAATAAATTTAAAGTAAATTTGAAAGTAAAAAACAATTTTATGAAGTCAAATTAAAACGTAGTTGTTTCAATTTCTTTTTAAAACAGAATACATATGTAATTGGAATTTGATTTATCAAACAAAGCTTATAATAACTTATAATTATTTGACTATAATTATTTATAAGAAATCAAAAACTAAAAATATATAAACCATGTTTAATGCATTCCAAACATGTTTTATTCAGAGAATATTTTAAGACATCATACTCGTATCAATAACACCCATAACAAATATTTTGTTAAGTTAATTCATAAAAATAAAAATATGGCTATACGAAATTGTGAAACATTACACTAACACTTTTCTTTCAAATACACGAAAAAAATATTGTAAATGTTCCTTAACTTAATATGTTAATTACACATTTTACCTTCTCATATTACAGAAGAAATAAGATTCAAATTACTTTTAAATTTAAAATACCTACATCTATGCCTGAACTGAACATTCATATTATATACATACATATAAAGGTAGGTACTTACATAGATACTAATTCGTTCTCTTCATACATACACAAACATATCAGACATAACCAATATAGATATATAAAACATAACCATAGGTTACTTTCTTTTCTTTGCAACATAATCTAAATGTAACACATCAATATAACATAAAAACAAAAGAAACAAATAGCAAGAAAAAATCCCTTATTGGATACTTAAATTTCGGTTACTATTCAAATTGAGCGAAGCTTAAACATATTTTTAAAGAAAGCTTTTCCGGTTCAACTTCCATACAGATTACACATGTTTCTTTACATATATGTATGTGTGTTTATTATAACTGTCATAAATGTAAGCAAAATTACAAAAACCTACCCATAGTTCCATCTTTTATATAAATTGTAAATATGATAATTTTACATTAAACGTTACCTTTTTAAAAAGGAAACACTTTTTTGCTAATTTCACAACATTCATAAATCTTCCTTCTTTTCTCTTAATGCTCTAATGCTCGGTTTAATTCTGCCCGTACCATGCACATTTTATTTAAGTTTATGTGTAAGTATCTATTATACGCTTCTAATATAATAGAATAATATGTATGTATACATATGTGTAACTACGCTGTCTTAAAAAAATTGCTTTAGGTTAAAGTCCCCATGTTAAAAATATGGATAACCACTTGAATTTTAATTAACTCCGATTATAACTATAAGAAATATAGAAAACAAAATGATATACATTAAGCACATAGAATGAGTTTAGGACATATGATAATCTACAAATGCTTTGTAATTGTGGTAGGTAATAGGGTTGGTTGTAGTGGTGGTGGTTAATCTACAATTTTCTTTCTCTTTATTTAGTTTGTTTGATTGTATTATTATATGCTTGCGGTTTATAAAGATAAGATGCATGTACATTATAATTCATTCATTCATGATATATGATTTCAATTTGAAAATGTTATGTGCGAAAGAACTACTAAAATTTAACAACAATGAAAAATAAAAAAAAGGTGATATTTTATTTTACTGTATTTTTTTTTATCACAAATATATGATAATGTGACATTTTATAGCTAATTTACATGATATTATTTTTATATATTTTCACTATAAGAAATAGATACAACCCAATAGGTATCAAATTAACACATATATGATAAAAATAGTAAAATTAATATTGGAGAAAATGTTTTTAAATTAAATTAAAATAAATATATATGTGCACAATTATGCATGTGTTTTGACAAGTTTCACAATATATAATGCGGCTAGACCTGATTTCTCTTATAAAAATCTATTAATTAGTTTTATAATTTAACGAAATTCATTTAAATGACTCATATGCAATCGTTAATTGTACTATAAATTAAGAATAAAGTACATACATCTACATTTATTTATATGTTAATTACAAGTTTATGTGCTTTGTTAAAATAAATTTAACCAAAAAAACTTATAGATATTTCTTATTGGGTGTCTACTTACTACTCTTTTTTCTATACTTTACTTTTAAAATTTTAACCAAAATAACAAAATTTTGATTTTTAATTTCAGAAGCTAATTTTCTAGCTATTTGATTTAAATTTTATTATTAAGATCCAAGTTGAAAAAAAAATATTCCAGATACTATAATGTTCAATAGCCAATCGCTTCTACATAATATTTGCGCATGCGGGTATAGAATTTTTCAAAAAATTAAAAAAAAAATCAATTAAAAATAATTTTTGAAATTTAAAAAAAAGGACCAGAAATAACTTTGAAAACCATAATGATTGCTAAAATATAGCAAATTATAGACCTTTTAATAATATTAATAAATATTATTTTTTATTGAAAGTTATTTTACAAGTTACTAGAATTTTATTAAATTTTTATATGACTAGGTATATACCTTGATTCAGTTATCAAACCTACTATAATTAATAATTTCACCAATAACTTGAAATCTTCCGAATATTATTTTATTTTTATCAAATATTATCGCATCAAATTTTTGTGATTTTCAAATTTCTTAAATTTTATAAACAAGTAAGAACTTTTTTTAAAAAAAAAATAATTAAAAATCCTTTTGGGATTATTAGAAAAATTATTACTTTCTAACATATTTTTGAAATTATATAAGCATATAAAAAAATCTGATGCGATCAGCACATAACGGACCGCAATGTGTACTGTCTATATAAAAAAGATTATGATAATGCCTTTTGAACACTTTCCTTCAATTTTACGGAAGCTAGTAGCTTTCATTAACACACCTAAAAAAGTATAAATTTGGCTCTTAGTAGAATTTCGCTTTGTGCCCACCGGATTCTTTGAAATGTTCACCAGTTAGTTTCGGTAACAATTAGAACCCAAATTTCAGCAAATTCCATCAATCCGTTCCGTAGACATGATAAGAAATGTATAATCGGCCCTCAGTTCGGTTTCCGAGCTCTTAACTTTCTAAAAAATTTGCAGTTTGAAAAAATTGCAAAAACAAAAAATTGTTTGAAAATATTTTAAGCTGAAATTTTTAAATTTTTCAATGCAACCACCAATTATCCTCAAACTTATAATTAAAATTTTAACTCTTAAATTTTTTTGAATATTTAAGAATATCTTAATTCTCAACTTAAATTTGTGTATTTAAAACCTGATCACTTTACTTCAATTTAAATAAGATTTTTTGAAAACAATATTTTTTAAAATTAAATATTCTCAAAAACAAAAAAGGAAATCAAGAAAACTAATTAAATTTTATTTTATTACAAAACAAACATTTTATTTTAATAAACAATTTTTTTTGCTTTGGAAATATTCACGCATATCAACGTAGCTAAGCTATCATACAATGTTTTCACACATATTTTTAAAAATGCTAAATATAGGTGTGCTTTAATATTCAATATTCTTTATTGATTAATGACATTCATTGATTAATGATTAAGCAATTCAAATTAAGCTATTTTCAAAAACCCCCAAAGTAATTCAAAATCATTTTTTGAAATGGCCATTTTTTTTTTCAATTTGAAAATTAATTCGTTGTGACACTTAGTACATATACATACATATGTATGTATATTATGTATGTATTTAAAAATAATAAAATAAAACAAAAACACAGGAATATTAAGAGAAAGTTTGTTGTGTTTTTTGAATATTTTATGTATTTATAGTGGTTTTTTTTAAATCGTTGGCAACTATTTCAATACTCTTTTCATTAAATACAAGCAAAAAAAACTAATTAAGTACGCATTCGAGTGAGTACCATTTTTATGGTATGTAAATAACATACACAATTTATAACCGACTGACATGCCGTTTAGAATAATGAAATAATAATGATAATGTGATCCGTTTGAATCACAAAACTCAATATATATAACAGTTCATTAACCGTTTGCAAATACCAAATGCTAAAGCTAAATATTAAATAACAAAAAAAAAGAAAATAATTACAGAAAAAAAAGTACTGTAACATTTAACACAAGTCAACACAACACTCATGCTTTAGAATATATTAAACAGGTAATGTTCGCATTTTTCTGCTGGTAATTCATTAAAAAATACCGAAAAAAATTGAAAAAAGAAGAAATAAGCCATTGTTACGTTCATATGCACTTACTTCTAGTCATATAATATTTAATACATACTGTAGAATGAAAAGGAATAAAAATTGAAGAAGTGTTATGTTGTGTAAAGTTGATTTTACATTAATTATGCGCTTTCATATATGAAATACAGGGTATTTCATGTAAGTATTTTACGAGTAGCATAGTTGGTAATGATAGCCATTATTATGCCACTAATGAATGAACAAATATTTAATTTTAAAATTTCTGGTTCATTATCGTGACCAAAAAGCTTGCAAAAAGAAAGCACTTTTCATATTTATAAATACATTATTATATTATTATTAAATTGTACTATAGCCAAATCAAACAAAAATTCGAAATAATTGAGATCTAAATGATACATTGTCAACAGCACATGATTTCATCAAAAATACTTTTATTGAAATGTTTTTTAAGGACTCTATTAAAATATGACAAAAAAACTGACTTAAAAAAAATTAAACTGAGTATTTATCTCTTATTTTTTATCCATAATTCCATAAAATTAATTACCCATAGATACCATGAATATTAACTTTTATAACTTTTCCAAGAAAAAAATTGCTTATTAGTTTCCGTTCGTCTGTGGATATGTGTAGGGTTTTCTGTCAGAACATGATATCTACATTTTTTCCATTTCGAGTAAAACACCATTTGCTTTATTTAAACATTAACTAGTGAAAGTTTAGTGAAGATTCAAAAAGTTAAGATTTTAAAATGTTGCTACTAAATATTACATATTTTCAGCTTTATCATGAATTCACCTCTCAGAATTCTACGAATTACAAATTTAGCTAGGGCGTATACTTTTTTATTATCACAAATTCCTTCGTTGAAATTATGAATCAACAATAGTAACACAATTTTTCGGATTGTCAAAATCAATATGTTATTCCAACTGTCAAATTTTAATTTATGTTTACATTACAAACGATTGGTTTGACCCAATTTTATTAATATTAAAAGTGATACGAATGCTCAACACATTTCAACACAGGTTTCTTATAGTATTAAATTTATTTCATCGTAGCCATAGAAAATTATAATAGTTTAAGAAAATCATAGTAGTTTATTTAATAAAGAAATTAAGTTTTATTTCTTGATTTTTATTTGCTTATTAATTGAAGTTTAATCAGCAAACAAAAAATTAATCGAATTTAACCAGCAAACAAAAAAAACTTTAAATGATTAATTTTTACCGTTCTAGTAAAAACGAGATAAAAAGAGTTGACCGTGTCAATTCTGTCATACCCGTACGAATTTGAATATCCCATAGCTGGGCTATGGGACAAATTATAACTTTAAGTTGCCATGTTAGCATATTAATCTATTCAAAATTTCAGTACTGCATATTTTTTGTATACAAAATTTCTTTTTACTATTTTCTAAGACATGGCCAAACTACTATTGAAGTTGTGCGGCAGCTACCACAAGGAGTCAAGAAAATTCAACGATTTTTATCACACGTAACAGCCCTAATAATACACCTGTTTTCACGAGATTTCTAAATTATGATTCCAATAATTTCTGGGATAATGCCAAAAAACTTTTGGAGTCGTATACCAGAAGGAACCGAGCAATTTCAGCGACTTTTATCGAACACATAGGCTCTACTAATATATTCGCTTGCGTGAAATTTCAATACCATAGCTTTTATAGTCTCCACGAACCAGTACCATGATCATAACCAATTTAAATAGAGTTATGACATTTACCATAATAAATTATTTGTAAAATTTGGTGAATTTAGCTCAATTAGTTTTTGAGCTATCGTTGAGACGGACGGACGAACAGAAGGACAGACAAAGCTAAATCGACTCAGAATTCGACGCTGATCAAAAACATACAATTGAGTCTATATCTCAGGCTATTATTTCTTAGCGTTACA